GCCGGAATTACAGGCATGCGCTACACGCCCGGCTGATTTTTTGATTATGTAGAGATGAGGTCTGCTGCCCAGGCGGGTCTCGAACCCGCGGGCTCAGGCAAATCCACTCACCTCAGCCTCCCAAAGGCGCGGGATTACAGGCTGAGCCACCGAGCCCGGCTTAATTTTTTTTTTTTTTTTTATTGTAGAGATGAGGTCTCGCCTGCCCAGGCGGGTCTTGAACCCACGGGCTCAGGCAATCCACTCACCTCAGCCTCCCAAAGGCGCGGGATTACAGGCTGAGCCACCGAGCCCGGCTACCAGTATTTTTTTTTAGCCATCAATGATGCTGCAAATATATAGGTAATTTCACATATGACTATATGTGTAGGATAAACTTCCAGAAATGGAACTGTAGTGATAAATTCTGACAAAATGGTTTCCATAAAGATTACATCAATTTTCACTTCCACTACAACCCATGAAAATACCTACTTATTTTTTTATAGCTACAAGGTCTCACTATGCTGCCTAGGCTTGTCTCAAACTCCTTGGCTCAAGCAATCCTCTTGCCTCGGCCCCCTCCCAAAGTGCTGGGATTATAGAAGCTACCACGCCTGGTCAGGGAGGTGACACTGAGCAAAGACCTAAAAGAAGTGAGAGAATGAGCCCTAAGCTGTTAAAGGGAAGAGCATTCCAAGCAGTGGAGAGAGCAAAAGCCCAGAGTTGAGAGTGTGCCGGGTGTGTCCAGGAGCAGCAAGGAAAGCAGCTGGCTAGAGCTCAGTGAACGAGCGAAGAGGAGGAGGTGCGGGCAGAGAGATTGAGGGAGAGGGGGGCGGCAGCAGGCCAGGTTGTGAAGGTACCCATAAAGGAATGCAAAAACCACTGGGGTGATCTAGAGTATCACTCAGAATGTTCCATTAGAACAGACTGAGGGAAGGCAAGGATGGAAGAAGAATTAGGAAACTTCCTTAAACAGGTAGGAAATAAGATGGGTTAGACTAGACCAGTAGCCAAAGCGGTGTGAATGTATGTAGAGCCTGAATGTATTTTGAAGCATGCTTTTCTGCCTGACTGAATCTTGAGTGTGAGAAAGGCAACAGCGACTCCAAAGTTCTTGGCTTAAGTAAATGAAGAATGGAGTTGCCCTTTACTGAGATGGGGTAAGGCTGCAGGCAGAGCATGTTTTAGGGTGAAAATGAGAAGTTGTAATTACACTTATGGTTACCAGGGCTTTCCAAGGACGCTGGGGCTTTCAGAAAGCCAGGGTTCCAAATGCTATCAGCAGCCTAGACTAGACCATGACTGAAATACCTTCTTGGGATGAAGGTTCTCCAAGGAACAGGTGCCAAGGCTGCTGTCCTCTGAGCTATCCTGTTCCAAATCAGACCTGTACCGAGATATTGTATTAAGTGTTCTTAAATTTCTTTTTCTGTGTGAAATATGCAATCAAAGGAATAGACACACACACACACACACACAGACACACACACACACACACACACACAAGCACGCACATCCCTAAAAACCTTGAAAACAACTCAGAAACTTGGCTTTCCTTCTACTAGAGGACCCATTGTCCTTCAAATATCAAAACTCAATTCAATTCTACATTTATGGCTCCATGATGTCAGCAAGACACCAGTTGCTAGACAATGCCAGGCTAGGGCAGTATAGAAACCACACTAGGGCCAATCTGAAACATGGCTGATTGAAGAATGTAATCAGGAACTCATTTGACAAATAATCCCAAAATAAGGAATGCATTTAAAGCAGTAGTTACTAAAGCACCAGAAGCAATGGTACCTAAAATGGGATATTTCAACAAAAGCATGGAAAAGTGAAGAAAAGCAAAGTAAGTCATGTTAGTGGGAGGAAAAGAACAGAAACATATACAAGGATTGTGTCAAAAGGCTAGAAAGAGACTGGGGAGAATAAATTAAAAAAAAAAACAACCGTGTCCTTGAATGGGAGGAAGAATCTATACAAGACAAGGATGCCAGAGCTCAGAGCAGCATTTTTTTTTCCTACCCAGCTCACAGGGCCAGCGGGTGGATCAGAATGAAACAACAAATTGCTCCAGAATAGCTAAAGGAATCAGAACTTGTTTTAAAGCAAATTAACTGGAGGCCAGACAAGGTGACTCAGAGGCATGACTCAAACCGGCACCAGGGGTTGTCTGTCAGCTCCCGGAGGCGGGAGGTGAGGCGTCTAACACATTTAAGGAAAGTACCAGCTCGTGGAAGACCACCCCCTCCCGCCCCGAAACCCTCCCCGGGAGGTGGCCGGGAGCTCCTCCTGTCCCAGAGCCTGACCTCTTTCTTCCCGCCCTGGGAGTAGTTTCTTCTCTTTTTTATTATGGTATTTTTTTGTAGAGACGGGATCTTGGTGTGTTGCCCAGGTTCGAACGCCTGGCCCTAAACGATCCTCCCGCCTTGGCCTCCCCAAAGCGCTGTGGGACTCCAGGCGTGCGCCACAGCCTAGGAGCAGTTTCGAGTCTCCAGGCTTCCCCTTCCTCCTTTCGGGCCCTCCCATTCCCTTTTCTTCCACCGAGCGTCCCAAGGCGTGCGTGTGTGCGCGAGATGCCAGGCCTTCTCCCCCGCCGCCCCCTCC